TCTATAATTTGAGAAAAAATTTACTGACTGAAAAAATGAGTAATGTTATGAAAAGTGAATAAAAAGTGAGTAAAAAAGCGAGAAACACTATTAGGCTGTTAACAAATTACAGTTGTTATGTAACAAAGAAATAATTGAAAAAATTATTTAAAATTCAATGGCCAATTCTAATTTTAATTGTTGAAAATAATTGTTTTTTGTTTTTTTTTTGTATGTTTACCATTTCTGAGTTATTATTAATTCATATTCGGAATTTATTTTGTCGAATTTACTTAAATTGTAAAGAAAGAACACATTTCTCTTAGAATTTAGAATTTTTCTATATATAAATTAAAATTAAATGAATACCTCATTTTTTTTGGAAATAATAATAAGTGTTGCCAATAAAACAAAATAAGCACATCAAAAATATTTTGTGCTTTTTCATTTTCTTTCTATCATTTTGAATAAATAAAAAAGAAATTATGAAAATTAAAAAATTAAATAAAAAAAAAATTTATAAAATATTGTAAGAGTATAGTTACTGGACAAGGAATAAAGTTTATATATTATTTTGAGTATGTTTGTCTATTTAATATAATAATCTTTTTTATACAAAAATTTTTTTAATTGTGAATTGCTTTTATATATAATTTAAAAATAAAATAAATTATATGTTATATTTTTCCTACTTTTTTTCTCGTTTAATTGTGCTTTTCTCCTCAAAAATGCATTTATGTGCCAATAAAAATATTAAGAGTTTAAAAATATTTAATTTGATTTATTTTTTTTTTTTATTTTTATAGTAAAGAAGCATATTGACTGTTAAAAAATTTATATATATAATTTATTAGGAAAATAACATTCAATAACAATTTGAAAATGACAATATTTAATGACAGACAAACTATTCTTAATCTGACAGAAATTCTAGCTTAATTTAAAACGCTCAAAATCCTCGAATATGCAAATTTCTTAATATCAAATTGCATATACAAAAAATTCTTATATTTTAATAAATTATAATTTTAATAAGTCGATTAGCAAAAAATAATTTGACAGAACAACATATTATAGTAAAACTGTCAAAAATGTTATGTCATTTCTCGTACATGTTATAATAGAGTATTTATTTGAGAGAGAGAGAGAGAGAGAGAATATAATTTTAGCAGTCAATATGTTAAAATGAGTGCAATATTATAGTTTTAATTATGTGCAAAAACAAAAAATAATAATCTTTAATAAGATTATAATATTTGTGCATTATACATTTTAAGAGTGTGTGAGTATAAATTTCAAAATTTAGAAAATTTTTTTATAATTTCAGTAATGTACATACATGTATGTTTGTGTAATAATTATTTATTAAAATATATGAGTGTTATTTATATTTTTCTTGCTTTGTTATGTAAGTTTCAAATTAATTGAAAAAATTCAAATAGAAAAGAAAATTAAAAAATTAAATTAAAAATAGGAAAAAAAAAAAATTAAGTGCGAGTGCTGTCCAAACACTAAAAAACATTTATAATAATTTTTATATATTTAGTAATATTTCAAAAATTAAAATAAAAATAAAAATATTTTAAATCTTACAACTATTATATGTGAAAATAAATATTTAAAAAAATTCAATTGTTTAAAATAAAAATTATTCGAAATTATTTCAAAAATCAAAATATTTTTATAGTATAAAATATATATTCAAAAATTATTATATATTTAAAAGAAATAATCGAAAAATTCAATATTTTGAGTAAGAAATTGCAATCAGAATTAATTTCATTTACTTTAAAAATTATTTTAAGGCAAAGCAATATAACAATAACATCGTTTTTTATTTGCGTATAGTCACCGAGAGTCCGTGAAATTCGATACTCTTTTCAAATATAGTTAAATAATTAAATTATATTATAAGAGACATTTAGATCAACACAAATCATATCTAATATTTCATGTAAACCTTATTAAATAGCATTTTAATTGAAGAGGGAATTTCAATTAAAATGCTCTAGACAGTCAGTACTGAAATGTCTAGAGAGGCGAAAGATTTTATACGTACTACAGTTGATTTTATACGTATATGATCTCGTAGGTTAATTTATAGATTCAGTTCATAGAAACGATAGCCGGAAAGTATGTTAATAATTCGAAAGTGCTGCTCGGGCGCCAGTTTTTACAAAATGCAACAACAAATGATGATTAATTAGAATTGAGTCGATGTGACATTGACTATTGAAATGAATCATGCGTATTGGAAAACTGAACACAAAACAGTCGTTTTGTGTAGAGTGTAGAGTTATTCAGAGTTAAAACAAAATTTCCTATAATTAATGTATTGTTATAATGGCATTGCCTTTGGAAAACATTAAAATTTTTGTATTACATAGGTTTATGGCAATAATACTGAAATCATTCGATTATTTTATTACTCTCAATAAGCATGAATATCTGAAAATTTTTCAAAAATTTCTAATTTGAACAGTCAAAAATAATTTTTATACATTTCGTTTTTTGTTAAAGAAGAAAATTACTGTGTAAATTTTTTGGTATTCCATGTGAAACATTGCCAATTATATTAAAAATTAAGTTTATAAATTATGAAAATTTGAAATTTTTAGAAAAATTTTCATAAATTCGATTTAAAAAATAAAATTCTTTTCTACTTTCTGCGTGGAAATATTTCAAAAATTATTAATATTTTCAAAAAAAAAAAATTTTTTTTTTTCCTTATAAAATATAAAATTTTCTATAAAAGCAAAAATATGTTTTTCATTAAATTAATGTAGACATCAAAAATTCGTTGTCCACAGGGTGCGTAAGCTAAAAAAACTATTTGAATTATTTTTCAAAAAATTGTTTAATATTCTTAAAAACTATTCAAAAATAATCTTAATTTATATTTATAAATAATTGTTGATTATTTCAAAAAAAAATTAAAATTAGATGATTAAAACCTGAAAACAGTTAATTATTTTCATTTGTGAACTTTTTTCTTTTGTCAAACAAAAGTGACACATACACACACACAACAGTTCTTTGCCACGTATTTTAAAATTTTCGAAGTTTATTTGTTCAAATTTTTGTACAGACAAAAAAGTTATGAAAATTTAAAAATATTTTTGGCAGTTCCAATTGAAACTCCAGATATAAGGATATAAATCCCATAATGGTTCCTTATTTTTTGGAATTTAAAAATTATAACTTTAAATTTATAAGTTTTATTAATAAAACGTAGCAAATTTCTGATTATTTTCCTATTTTTCAATAAATTTATGGCCATATATGACAAATTTAAAAAAAAGACAACAAACCAATGATGAAAATTTGACGATTTTTTAAGCTATCTTAGCTCAAATTGCAGAAGAAATCCATCGAATATTTAAAATACGTGACGAAGTCTTGTATAAAAAAATTTTTATTCAAAATTCAAAAATATTATTTCTTTTTATTTTCTTATTTCTTATTGAATTAAAATAAGAGTATAATGATGAAAACTTAATAAATTTTGTATGAAATAAGAAAAATAAAATAAGCATAATCAAATTTTTTGGAGGGGCGATTAGGAATTCGGTAAAAAAGTTCAAAACATAAAACTAATATTTTTTTTTTCAGTACGAAATCATAATATGAAGCTGAAATACAAAATAATAAAACAAATGAAAACTGTAAACAAGGAGTTGGAGGGAGCTGAATAATACCCCTTATAAAACATTTTTAAAAATAAAAATTAAAGAAACAATGATGACATTATAAAGAAAATTATAATCACAAAAAATTTGTATCGCTTTTATTTAAAATTTTGAGAATTCATTTTGGCAGAATATACCGGATTTCAAATTTAAACGTGATAACAAGGTTTACTTACCGGATATCGTACCGGATAGAGAATAAGGTCGACAAATGTTTAGAGAAGAACGAAATGGCGAAGTACATTGCATGTCTGCAACATACGTGAGTAACAGACAGGGTGGTTTAGCTTAGTCTAATTACATTTAACAAAGTACATACATTTAATTTTAAGAATTTATGTATAATGCATATATGTACAATGTCTGTATGAATGCATCATTGATACATTTACATATATCGTTGGTAAAGCAAAATAAAATAGTTTTGTATATATTTGTCAAAAAATTGGTATTGGAAATAAGTTCCGTTATTAATAATAATATTACGAGTATATGATATTGGATTTTATACTTGGTATTTGTTTAAATTAAGGTTAAATATTTTAATGTGCTAACTGGTTTTATATGTTAATTTAATAGGGTTTTTTACAGCTTAATACAATAGATAGATTTATTAAAGGATTTTTTGCATTACTATACAACAACAATACAAAGTATACAAAAATTTCTATTGTACACAAAGTATAAAGTATACTTTGTATACAACAGAAAGTGGCGGGACCACTAGTGCAAATTTTATCCGCTATTTTTATTTTTTCGCAATTTCAATATAAAAGTTTTCATTTCATTGATCGTTCACTATTGGGCTGATATATCGTTTCTTTTTCCCATTTTTTGTGCCCAAATATATCAAGCTGTAAAAAACCTCTTATTAGAGGTCCCCTTAGTAAATATTATTTTATTAGAGAGCCCCTTTGCGTTTATGAGATGCAAGCGATACAAATATTTTTTCTTGTTTAAAACAAAAAAAAACAAATATTAACGAAACATCATTAAAATTAAAAAATAAATTAATTATTATAAAATTATACAAGTACAAATATGACCTAAAATGAATTTTGTATTAATTAAAAGCGATTTTCATAATTATGTAAAAAAAAAAATTAATATAAATTTGTAATTTTTTTTTTCTTAATTATTTTAAATATAATTTTAAAAATTAATAAAATTATGAATTTTTAATATTATTAAATATTTATTTTGATAAAAATGAATTTTATTTTTATATAATAAAATTAAAAATGAAAAAAAAAAAAAAATTAAAATTTTTAAACCATCATTAAGAAAAAAAAAAAAAAAAATAAAAGAAAAAATCAAAATAAAAATACGTACCATCTTCTAATGTTCGTATAATAACTGGTAATGATCTTGGCCCATCACCAACCGATGTCCCAGCTAATACCCATATTTTATATTCTGTCCAACGTTTTAATTCATCCAATATAATTTTTGTACCATTTAATGTTGATATTGTTGCCTCACTATCAGAACGACCAACTTCAACAAAAAATACACGATAATAAATAATACGACCATTTGATCGTTCAGCTGGTGGTGGTTGCCAAGATACAGCAATTGTTGTTGGACTTGTTGCTTCAGCTGTTATATTACGTGGCGGTGCACCAGGGACTAATTTATATATATATGGTAACATTTATATTTTTGATAAAATCGAAATTTTAATATTCGATTTTATTGTTTTTTTTTTTCGATTATAATTTTATATGAAGAGAGAGAGAGAGTGATTTATATGATTTTTTTTTTTTTTGATTTGATTTTTCAAATAAAATTTTTTATTTAATAAATTTTATGTAGATAGTATATTATGTTGTGAACGTGTGTATAACATTATTATGTTTTGAAAATGTTATTTTGATGTTTGTTTGGTTGTTGTTTGATTGTTGTATTTATACGGTTGTTTTTTTGATGATTTTTCAAATATTATTTATAAATATTTTTGATGTTATATTATTTTTTTTTTTTTTTTGTTTCGAAAATATTAAAATAATTTTTGTTTTGTTTTTTTTTTTTTTATATAAAATGAAAATATTTCGAAATTTTGTATAAGTAAAAATTTTTTTCGAGATCATTACATTAAAAATGAAACATGACATGAAATTTTAATCGAAAAATAAAAATGGAGAAAAATGAAAAAAAAATAAAGAAAAAAAAGTTTAAATTAAAATTAATTTTTTTTTTAAAAAATAATTCAATAAATTAATATAAATAAAATTTAAATTATAATTTAATAATATACTTTATTTAATATTTAAATAAAAAAATAAATATACAAGATGTTTGAAGTTGCAGACTCGTTTTGCAGTCTGCAACATAAAATTAATCACTTTGAACTGTTTTTATATAAAATAGTAGAAAATAAGCTGGTAACGATTTTGCCACAAGTCTTGTATGCCTATCACAAGGATAATCGAAATTTCGATATAAAAAAGTATAAAATAAGCTGGGAACGATTTCGCTACACGTCTTGTATGCCTATTATAAAAAAATTCAAATTTTTAAGATTTTGATTATTAAAATATTTATTCAAGTCTTTAATTATATACAGAATGAAAATATTATTTCATATTAAAATTCATTCAGATTTAAATTCACATTAATAAAAATTATTATAATCAGATTTTGATTAAGGAATTTTGACAATCGTGTCAAATACGTCAACCGGTTAATATTACAATTTGACAACCATTTGTAAGAAATTTTTTGTAATTGATATACATAGTTGAAGTGTTTCTGTGTACATTACTTATACATTGTACTTTAAAGAAATTTAACAAATAGAATTGAACAATTAAGGTCATAATTCGCGTTAAGAATGCGAATCTTATACTGAAATTTAAGACGCTTGCGTTCTGGCGTCTTCGAATTCATAACGAATGTTAATTGAAAGAATTTGACATACTGAGAAGTGACAGTACATAAATAGTTTATATTTATTAGAGTAAATTTTCAACACCTTGCATATTATTATTGAAAAATATACATTTAAAATAAATAAAATATACAAAATAAAACTTAAAAATAAAATAACAAATTAAATTAAATATTTAAAAAAATTTCCAATTGGTTTATGCAAAAAACTTGCTACTTAATGTTTTGCTTTTTTGATTAAAATTTAGAAATTAATTTTAATAAATTTTATATATAAGTAAATTCATAAAAAATAAATAAAATTTTAAAAGCGAAAATAATTAACTTAGGTTATTTTTTTATATTTATATTTTAATTTTTTTTTTAATAATAATTGAATAATAAATGAATATATTTTTCTTTAATTATTTAAATTAATTTTGAATTCTTTGATTGCGGTATAATTTTAATTTTGTGCGGTTAAAGAAACAAAAATTAAAAACATATGTGTTTTTTAAAAATATCATAATAATATTTTTTTTTTATTAAATTATTTATGATAAAATGTGATTAAATAAGGTTTTTTTTTTTGAGATTATATAAAATTTATAATATTTATAAAAAAATTTTTTTTTTGTTGATTTTTATATTAATTATTTTTGAATATATAAGTTTTTTTTAAATTTTTATTCAAACGAAAAAACAGAAAAGCTTTTATAATATATTTATATTAAATTTATATATATATATATATATATATATATATATATATATATATATAAATGAATGTTTGTAATTTATTTATTAAGTTATTAGTTTTAAAAAAAAAATCTTACTAAAATGGAAAATAAAATCGACTATTTAAAATAATAAATAAATAAAAAGAAAATTCGTTTACAATTGAACAAAAATTTTTTTGGCAATCATAAAGTTTGGCAATTTAAAATTCTACAATAATTACTAATTATTTAAAAAAAATTAAATAATTATTTACAATATAAAAATTAAAAAAAAAAAAATGTTGCAATTTTTGCAATAAAACATGCTGTACATTGTTTTTTTTTTTCGTAGCATAGCAACTAAATTTTTGTCATGCTAAATTATAAAAATTTTGCTAAAGTACTAAGATTATTGAAATTATTTTTTTTTTATTTTATTTATAAAAATTAACAAGTTTTTTTTTATAGTGTAAAAATTGTTTTTTGCCAAATTTTTTATTTAAATGTTTTTTTTTTTTTAATTTTTTGTATAATAAATGTATACCTAGGATGTCAAAGATTAAATTCTACAATAATTGAGTTTTTAAAATGAAATGTATGAAATTTTAATTATTATGATAAAAAAAAAATTAATTTTTCAAATTAAAAAAAAATTGCATATTTTTGGGGGTTATTGTTTGTTTTTTTTTAGAATAGTCGAAATCATAATAATTATTACTGCTGTTTAAGATGCATTTCTTCTGACCTTCTAAAAGTCCGAACTAAATCATTTTTATAATAAAATTTACTTCCTCTTATATACTTAGATATCTGACATTAGAATCAATTCGTAAATAAAAATATAACATTATCTAAGAAAATATGTGTTTTTTGACTTCAGGTTTCAGCCTAAGTTAAATTTTTTTTAACACTAAGAAGAAGATGAACGAACTGTCAAGTTATTTTAATTTTGTATATATGCTAATAAAATGAAACATTTTGCTTGGTTAAAAATATTGTCCAAATGTCCGGACATTGTGTGGAAACGCACCTTTATTTTTATAATCATTTATTTTCAATTAACGATGTTATAATAAAACAATAGCAAATGTTATGATTTTATTGATTTAATATTTGCCACACTTGCATAACAGTTACTGCAAATATTTTCAACACTAATAATTTTTTTTTTGTTTATTTTTATACCCGTACAAAATATGATTTAGTCTAAGAACATTATTAAGTTCTTATGGATGAAATATAACGTTTTTAATAATATCTAGTTAAATAATATTATTGTTTTTTTCAGGTATCTTATAATTAAGTTAAACAGGAACTTGTTTAGAAATAAGGCCAAATATTTGAAAAAATTATTTTTTCAAATTGTATAAAATACGAGTATCAATCACAAAACTCAACAATTCAATCGTATGGGTGTCAATTATATTCTAAATATTGGTGATTTTATTAAAGATGAAATTGTCTGGATTAAACAATAGAAACAATTACAGTGTTAAATTAAATTTAATTCAATTTAATTTAATAAATTGTTAGCCTATATATGTGATAAGCAAGGAATTGCAATTCGGAAAAATTGCAAAGCTTTATTCTCAAAATAATTAATTTATTAAATTAAATTTATTATCTACGAATTATAGAATTCTAAATATTATTAATTTTTTAATTATTTTTCTCTCTTATTTATATTAAAAATTTTATTATATTTAATTTTTTAATAATAGATTTTAAAATCAAATTAATAAATAATTTTTTTTTAATCATATTTTCTAATAAAATGTATATATTTTTTTTTTTTTGTTTTCCTATATTTTTTAAAATAATATTATAGATTTTTTGCATAAACCAAATTAAAAATTTGCTTATATATAAAGATAAAATAAATTAAAAATTAAAATTATTAAACAATTGTATATATATATATATATACATATAGATATATATATTTACATAGTTACATTATGTACAAAAATTAATAAACATATAATAATTGTATCTGGATTAAATACTTGGCTACTAAAATAATTACAATAATTTTATTATAATATCTAATTACACATACAACTACTGTGAATTCTAAAAATTACAACTACATATTTACATTATTTACAACTACAATATTGTGTTTTTATGGTGCCAAATTGCTATAAGTGCATTTTTATTGTAAAAATTTATTTTGAAATTCTTAAACAACAAGATGCTTATATAAGAATAAGAAAAAAGCGAGTATATTAAAAATATGTGAGTACATGTGTATAAAAATAAAACAAAAAATTATAATAATAAATTTTAATTAAAAATTTGAAATCTTAAAAATAATGAAGTTAAAAATAAAAATATTACAAATAATATTGCAAAATACGAAAAATTAAAATTTTTAAATAAATAAAATTAAAATGAAAATTTTTAATAAATTATTTAAAAATCATAATTATTTCTGACTTTAAAATTGTAGCAATACGCCATTAATTGCACTGAATCGTACTGAATTGTGCATTACTACAGTATTACTACATTTTTGAAGTTACAGTATAGCTCAAAATATTGTACAGAATATTATAATGTTTTAAATAGCTTTACTACTCTGATACACTGAGAAAAATATAAAATTTTTGTGGTTTTTGTGTAAATGAAAAATGTGCTTATATAATTTACAATTATTTACAAAAAATTTTCAAATTTTACATGAGTGTATTTTAATTTCATGCTTTAATTTATAAAATATGTATATATTTACATTAAAACATATTTACTTAAATTTTGAATAGTGTAGATAAAATATTTACATAATTATATATCGTATAGGTAGGCTCATATATATATATATATATTTTTTTATTAACAACAGCACACTCAACTCTCATAAATATAAGGATATAATAAGTATATAGGTTTATATGTATATAATTATGAAATTCATGTTTAGTTTTCAAACTCATATTTATATTTTTATTAATTATTTTAATTACGTAAAAAATAACATACATACAATATATATATATAGGTATATATAGGTTTTTAAGTATGATTGTTTAATTATAATAAAATATATTGAGTTTAAAATTTTGAGTAAAATATTTTGTGTAAAATATTTTATGTAAAAATTTTGTTTTAATTTGTATAAGCTCAGTGAATTTTATGTGAAAAAATTTCATGTGTATAGGTATAGGCAGCCTATAATTTATTTTTTCAATTGTAGATATATTGTGAATGATTGTATAATGTATGTAATGATTTAAGTAACCTAATTAATTCATATTATATTTTATAATTATGATAAATAATACGGAAATTCTGAAAATTTTAGAAATTTTGCTTTTTGCTTAGCAAGTTGCGCTTCGAATAAAATTTAGGCTGAAATTTTGAATTTGAAATAAAATTAAATAGTGCCAAATTTAATTTAGCCTGCTTCTCTTCGTAATCACAGAATTATATGGAGTTAAGATTGCCCATAAAAGACCTTATATAGAAATGTTTTAAATAATTATAAAAAATAGTTTTTTTAACCGTAATTGCAGTTAATTTTAAGTTCATTAATACTTTAAAGTGACTAATTATTTGAATCGAACTCATTGAAAGGGCTGAGTAATTTAAATTTTAAATATAATTTATTTACACGATATTTTCATAAGTAAGTCAATTATATAAGAATTATTTAAAATATTGAACTTAATTTTTAAATTTTCAAAATTTTAATCTTGAAATTTAACAGTTTCGATGAATGAAAACAACATGGATTAACAATATGAAATTATATAATAATTATAAATTTATTCTTTATTTATAATATAGTAGGTAATTTGAAAATTTTCATTTCAATATTTATTTTATATAATAATTGAACTGGAAAAAACCCTTAAAATTGTGTTAAATGTTTGTTGTTAAATTAAAAATAAATTGTTATTAATTTAGTATACCAAAAAAAAAAATTGTGTGTTATTTGATTTAATAATACTGTAACAGCAACTACTGTTATAATAATGATTGTAATGAAATGTTTCAATAATTTTGCTGTTTTAATTCGAGTAATTTATTAATTCTAATATATATGAATTAAATATTGCATTAAATTATAAACAATTTATAAATAAATTATTAAATTATTTTTATATTTTCAAGAATACGAACACAAAATTTAAAGAGACCGTAATCAATTTGATTATCATCATCTCGTAATGATAATAAAATTGGTAATAATTACCAATTAATTGGTGATGCACTTGAAAGCTGTATATCAATTAAATTAAATTTAAATAATATTTAATTAAATATTTTATAATTAAATCTCAACTATAATAATTTTTTTTAAATAAAATATAAATTGTTTATAAAATATGTATATGTTTGTTGTTGTGAAGCTGAAGAACCCATCATTCATTATAATGTAAATATTTTGCGTGTATAAAATGTGTTAGTAAAAAAATTTTTTTTCTTTAAATTAATATTACCCATAATACTGTTTTTTAACCAATAGCTTATATTTAATTAAATATTAAGCAACCTTGACTTTAAAATTGCAATAATACAGTATTAATATACAATTCAGCAAATATAATTCATAAGCTGAATTGTGTATTTATCTAGAATTAGTGTAATTTTTAAGTCAGGGTATAATATATTCAAATATTTATATGTGATTACAGTATATCTATGCATATTATATTATAAAAGATATTTTGCTCTAATATATTTAAAGAAATTCATTCAGAAAATTCTAAAATTTATTTAAGATTTTAAAATTTTTTTTTTTATAATTTTTATTAAAAAAATTACAAAAATTTTTGTATTTCAACTAATTTGTTTTTTATTAAAAACATTATTTGAAATTAATTTGGAAATAAAAATTTTGTTGGTGGTAAAAAAAAATTGTGAAACTTTTTTTCGGAATTTTTTTTTATTCAAATAATGCTTTTCTTACGTATTTGTAACATGACAATTTAACAATATGAACTAGTTGTATTTGGATAATACTATATAATTTTACAAATACTATTAAAATATACAGAGTTTATTAAAATATCATATTTAATGTTATTAAAAAAATTTAGGCGATATATGGGCTTTAATTATCTTAAATTTCAAAAAAATTCCTAATTAATTTTTTGATATTTTTCATAGCCTTTTATTCAAAAATCAAAACGCGTCTTATCGAATAAAAGAACCGACAAAACTTGCAGGAGAACAATGAAACTTTTTAATATTAAGAAAGAGAAAATATGATTCTTCATATTATATTTAAATATTGTGCATCCTTGTTAAATTTCAAAAAAGGATATTATATAGGGAAAGAATTTTTAATACGAATAGTTATTTAAAAATAGTAAAATCCCAAATTAAAAAACCCCCAAATAATCCATACCCATTTTAAATAACTACTTTGGAAACACAAATTTCCTTTCAATATTTCAAAAACAAAAAAAAAACAATTTCCAAATGAAATTTAAAAAGAAATTTAAAATTTCATTATTTTTGTTTTTTACAATATAGTCGAAGTTATTCGTATAACAGATATATAACAGTTTAAAGATAACCCCCATTTAATTATTTAGAACAAAAAATTCAAACAAAAACTATAAATAATTCGTTATCAGAGAGACTATAAATATTATTTTTATAATATATAAGATAAAAAAAATAAAAACAAAAAACCAAAAAACAAAAAAAAAATAATAATAAATCAATAAAATTCTAATATAACAATAACTTATTTTTTTTTTCTTTAAATAATATTTTTTATATAAATATACGAGTATATAAAATAAAAATTATATAAAAAATTTTTTTAATATAAAAAAAATCAATTTTAAATTCTATTCTTACCATATTGTTTTGTACGAACGGGTATTGGTGGTGTTGTTGCACCCTCTCCACGTTGAGAACGTGCTGCTAACCATATATAATATAATGTATCTGGATATAAACCATCTAATGTATATGATTCTGTATTTGATATTCGTCTATAAATATTTAAAAAAAAAATAATAATGAAAAAATTTATAAAATTTAAATTTTTTTATTTTGTAGTTAGGTGTTATCTTACTTGTGATGCGCTTGATTTGCATACGTATCATTCCAATATAATTCATAATGAACTATATTTTCACTGGAATGAGTTGGTTTCGACCATTGTAATGTAACAGCTGTTTCACCAATATCAGTGGCTCTAAAATCACTTGGTTGTGAGGGAACACCTATAAATATAATTGATAAATGTTATTGTGTGTATATAGAATTATAATATATTATTATATGGTATTTTAAAGAAAATAAATTTGAATAGAATCATCGGTTTTTGAAATTAGCACATTTTCTTTGAATAAATGAAAACATTTTTTGGAAAACGAAATCTTCAAATTGAATTAGTATTATTAATAAATACTATATATTGTCCAAAAAAAAACTGATTGTACATTTTCAGGAAGAGAACAAACATTAAAAACAGCCGTTAAGGTAATAGTCAAATTTGTCGAAAAACAATAGGAGTTAAGAGGACAAATAATGTTTTTTGATGGTAAGAGGTTTACAATTAGTGGTTAGAATTAGTTATTTAGAAAAGATTACAGCTTTTAAAAATAAGAAACCGAAAATTTAAATATTGGTAATTTTGAAAGGCGATACCTTGGAATTTACTTCATGTTAAATTGAAGGACGGTGTTAAAAATTTAAAAAAAATTTAAAATATTATTAAATTTCGTCAGTCAATTTTTCAATTCTAATGTTTGCTTTATGTTATTTCGGAACAGAAGAAGTTTGTCACTATTTGCCCGTCTCTGCGGAGTTAAGAAAAAAATTATGATTTCGGCACATTAAATTTTTAACAAACAAAATTTTTTAGATTTTCGAAAATCCATTAATTTTTGGATAAGAAGAAAGATATACAAAATGGGTAAGATTTTTCTTCTGATGAGAAATGCGTTTTTGCACAGATTCATTTCTATACAAAATTTCAATATTCTGTTTTAAGAAGCTTTATAAACAGAAGAATAGATGGGCGGACGGATGGTTAGAGTAAAACTAATAAGCAAATTTTCTTAAATCGAGTATGAATTACGCGAAAAATTAGCAATTTATTTAATTTTTTTAAATTTGTGATAATAATTTATTTTCTCTAATTATTTTTTTTTGTCAAATTTGCGAAATAAAATAAAGGAAGTTAATTGACTTAATTAACCATTTTGTATTTTGTGTTGCACATATATTAGGTACATTAGCCCATTTATCTCCGTTCAAAAACTTGACAATTCAATTTCTAACAAAAACTCTTTGTAATAAATGTAATATTGCATAACTCGAAGAACTATTTTACAATTTCTTATTTTATTAAATTTATTTTTAATTTTGGTTTTGAATATTTTGAGTTGCAAAAATTTTCTCATTTAAATTGAAAAAATATTTACAAAGGTTAATTTTTTTTTTGCATATTTTTATGAATTTTCATTTTATTTATTTTTATTTTTTTTTTTTTTTATAAATAATTATATTTATTTTTTGATATCGGCAATTAAACTTCATACATGAATAAAAAAGCACATACTTTTGTAATCTTCAAAAATGATAAATTTACCATAGTAAATCGGTTCAATAATAATGATAATATTTTTTTTTTTGTAAAAGGATTCAGAAAAAATTAATAATGATTATATACGAAATTTTTATTTACATACACAAGTATAATTTAATTAAAATGTTTCAGGTATATTTCCTTTTTATTTTAAAATTTCCTCTTTTGAAAATTTCAATTGAAGTTGCGTATTTTCCTGAATATACAATTAAAATATTAAAATTTAATTAAAAATTGTGTTAATTTTTTTGAAAATTAACTTGATCTATCAAAATATTAAATTTATTTTTGATCTTTTTAAATAAATAATTTTTAAAATCTATACACAACGAATATAAAATATGGAGGAACATTCATATATGTATATGATGGGTTTAAGAATTAAAGTTGTTTATTAAGTTTTAAATAAAAATCATTAAATTATTAAAAAAATAATTAAATTACATGTGAATTATGATAAGGTGTTAATAATATTTTGGTTATGAGATTTCTATAAAGAAAATCTTTTATCAAACATTTTCAAAATTTTAAAGTGAATTAAGAAAATTTAACTTTTGGGAGCAATATCTTCCGTATTGACTGTATTGAATATTGCACTTTTAAAAAAAAAAGTGTTTCAAGTAAGTTAAGAGTTTGCTCGTGTATCTCGCTATTTTACTCACAAAGTGAGAAGAAAGTGATATCATAATATTGGTATAATGAAATTTTCGAGTGAGAAAAATTATTCGGTATTGCGTTTTTTTCTAAAGTGTATACAAAATTTATTCACTTTATTTTTGAAAGTAAGAAGTCCAGTCGATTATTTGAGGAAAAAAATTCCGAAATCCAATTGAAAAACCGAAATAATCTTGTTGGAATAATGAAATATCCAAAATAAGAAAAATGGAGAATTCTGATTTGAAAGTGAATAAAATGTTAGAAGGAAAAAAAGGAGATATACGATTAAACTGTATAAGTTTAGAAAATGGAGATGAGGCCCATAATTATTAAAACTTTGAAACTGAGTAAGAATTTTTTTCAAATTATGAAGAATTTGAGAAGATATTTTATTCAAATTGGAATTAAATAAAAAATTATAAAAATCTATTATAATAATTATAATAAAGATCTGAAATGCGGCAGTAGGTTTTTGTAATTTACCAGAAAGTGGATTCCGTTTTTGTTGATAATACTGGAAAAGATCTTTTGTTAAATCGACAACATAAAATTTTTTTATGCTTTTATATTAATAACTTAATTTAGAAAAGAACTCATTATTGAAATATAATTAAAATATAAATCAATCATTCTGCTACCAGAGTTTTCATTGTCAGCGATTCTAATTAGTAGTTCTATTGTTGTGTAGTTTTAGCAAATATAAGATTTCTCGCAGTTAAAATTGCAAATCCAAATTTGAACCAATTGTTATGATAGTCACAAAAATTAAATATTAGGAGTTTCGAAAACAAAAATCAATTTTATTGATATTGAACTCACTACGATCTTTATATTTTATGGATTTTAAGGATTTCATATTATTAATTTTTTAGAAATACCAATTTTTGACTTGAGAGCATTTAAAATTAAATTCTCTTTGAATGAAGAATTTAAAATTTGAAAACTTTTTCAATAAATTTGTTTCTCATTTTATTCATATTTATTGTACATTTTGAATATTTTTGTTATTTTTTTTATATTTAAATAAAATAAAAATTATAAAAAAATAAAATAAAATTATTTATAATAAAATTTTTCTTTTTCAATTTCACAAAGTGTATTTAATTGAAAAAATTTATTATATATTTTTTTTATATTTAAATAAAGAATTCATATTATATAATTGCACAACTATATAAAAAAATTTTCCACTTTATTTTAATATTTATACAATTTTTTACATTTTAATAAGTAAATTGAAATAATTTGTTTTCACCTTTTATAAATATTGAATATTATATAAAAATATTTTCAGGTAATTAAATTATTTTCAAAAATAAAACCAAAAAACAAAAACAGAGAAGAAAATATTTCCTTTAATTTTTCGTTCCACTTTAATTATTAATTAATATTATTAAATTATTTTAATGTTAAGTGTTAAATAAATATTATTTACATGTAATGTACGTGAATTTGTTGCATTTATATTGAAATTTTTATATTTAAATTGATAATATTGTAAAAATTTTGTTGATTTTTTAAGAGTTTTTTTTTTTGTAATAATAATCAAATTTGTTGGTTTATAGAAAAATTTCGAAAAAAATTCGAAATTGTATTCATTCGAATGAAATACAAAGTAAAATATCATTAAAATTAAATAATTAATTATAATACAGAAGAACCAGTGATCTGTGAGGGTATGTTTAACTGGCATTCATAAATTTTAGAATTTACTTTAAAAATAAATTTATTTTCAAGTTTCTGATTTGATTTTCTGGTTTGATTAATTTAATAAGATGAAATATGTAGGACTAAAATCAAATTGTTTTCGGTATTCACAAGAAGTTTGAATACTTTTAAAACCTTTATAATCTAATAAAATTTCGAGGTACCTTTAATATTTAATAAAATCTAATATTTATGTAAAAATTTAAAAGTTCTTATTTGCCTTTATAATAATATAGTTTATATATACATTTTAATAACATATACAAAAATCTAATATATACACATACCTTGTTGTGTTTTAACTTGTACTGGTGCTGACATTGGACCGGCACCCATTGATGTAAATGCTTGTACACGTACTGTATAAATAGCATGTGGTGTTAATTCAGATATTGTTGTTAATTCATTATTATCAATCATTTGTGAATCCCATTGGGCTTCCGGTTGATTTGGATCAGTTGTATAATATACTTTATAACCCTATATTTAAATATGTGAGAAAAATTTCAAATATTAAAATTTTATATAAAAATAATTATTAATAAAATAAGAATTTTGAAAATAATTTTTTAATTTAATTTATTTTTAAAAATCTTAAATACTAAAAATATATGTATGTAAAATTGAATATGTAATATTTTTAATTGTATAACATATTATTATTAATTTAGTATGTATTTTTTTAATTTTACTCCCTTTAAACTTGATTTACTCAAAAAAACAATTTATTTATTTTAAGGGTGGCCTAATTTAATAGCCAATTTTAAAACTCTTTTAGTATTCGAGCAATGATAATGAAAATTCTAACTTTTGTTTTGACAATTCTGCCTATAATTACTGCTGTTTGTATGCAAAAACTTTCTCGAATTTTATTTTACTATTTTAAATGGAAATAATTTTAATTTTTGCTTCATAAGTAACTTTATATCTACTTAATTTTTGAAATCAAGCTAATTTCCCTTAAAAAATTTCATATTATTTGCATTTCAATCCGATTAAAATTATTACAATTTTTTCTAAATTATCTCTGATTGCCTTAAAATTTAAAATGTATGTACAATTTACATATATAAATTATGTACTACAAAATAGTATAGGATCAATATTTTCAAGGAAATTTTTCTATCTTAAAACCCACAAATTATGAATTAATTTATTGGTAAATAAAAAAAATTTTTTTTTTGGCAATTTTTCTTATAAAATAAAATAAAAATATTTATTTTGTTTTCTTTATTATAGACTATGTATATATAGAATTTATTAAATTATATACATTATAATATATAAAATAAAATATTAATTTCATATTCTTATATGATTAAACAATAAACAAAATCAAAAGTTCAAAAAAAAAACCTCAAGGATTTTAAATCCTTTTTCCAAAAAACACACAAAAAAATAATAAAGAAGTTATTTAAATTTCACTTTATTTTACTATCTAGCTACTACATAGATATGTATATATATATAAATGTATGTGGAACTAAAATCCATACATTCATAAACTATATGTATATATATAAACGGATATACTTTTATCATGTGAACATTATGCAAAGCTATCAGAATATTATTATAAAAATTGAAAACCCTATAAAATATTCAAAAATAATGAAGAAGAAGAATTTTTAACATAAAATTCAATGAAAATTATATAAACTCCTCTCTTCATTGTTTTCATAATATGTTGTAATATACTCAGTATAAATTTATAAAAGAGGGCAAATAATAATAATAATGAAAGAGAAAGCAATATAAAATAAAATAAACTTGGATGACCCCCTACATCTATATGAAAATATATGAACTTTTATTAATTTTATCCGCCCTTAAAATTTTTACTTAATTTTTTTCCAATATGGTAAATACTCGTATGTATTATAAATTTTATGTAATATGTTTTATAAAGCAACAATCGTTTAAGTACGAAAATTCGAAATTTCGGGTAATTTTAATTGTATGTATTAATCTGTACGTAGAAAACATAATAAACCGAATTTCACTATTTTTGAACAAGAAATTTATTCTTTTTCTTGTTTTATTATTTTTGTTATCTTATCCAGTTATTATCCTTTTATCCGTAATACAAAATATTTCTTTTTATAATTCGTATAGAATGCAAAAAATATCATTTATGAAGTCAGCACTTTAACAAATACTCATTTTTTTATCCGATGTCTTATTTCCTATTTTATCCGTTTATCCGATTTTTTATCCGTACAAAAAAAAAATTGATTTTTTTCAAAATTTTAAATATTTGGGAGTTCATACGAAATAGAATGAAAAAGGGTGAGATATACAAAAGGTAATACTTGACACTTTTCTCACAAATCCCTTAATATCACTAAAGTAATAAGAAATAACGAGAAATATCACAGCATTTTTTGAAATATCACTGAAACACCGATTCTCAGAATAAGAATTTTTTAAAATAAATAAAATGTAGACTTAACAAAGTTACATTTTCTTTAGAATTTATAAATGTCTAAGATGTTTTAATTTCATCCTCAACGTTTATTACTTTATTGACCACAAAATAAAATTTCTATTGTATATATAACAAAATCAAAATGTAGTCAAAATTAAAGGTATATATATAGTGTTTGGGTATTTCTCCAATAATTTTCTTATTCAATTTTTTTGCTTTGTATTTTGTTTTTAGTGATCATTTTTATGTTCATGTCCACCCATATCAATTTTTATTCATTTACATTTAAAATATATCTAAGAGAAAAGAAAAATAAAAAACCAACAAAATTTAAGAAATTTTTATAGTAAAAATGGACAAAATATCTCTATTATCCTTTTATTTTATTCCATTATACTGCACTCCTTGTTTGTTATTCTTCTTTTAATAATATTATTTTCGTGATCACTTGTTTTTCTTTAAGTTTTTTTCAATTTTTATATAATATTATTGGAAATATTATGTTGCCATCTGTTTATGTGTATACAGTAGTATTAAAAAATATATGGTCAACAGATAAGAAAAGAGCAAAAAAAAAAATAATATTAAGAATTAAGAAAATGAACCCAAAAATTCTACCATATATAATAGAATTGTGTATAGATGAATGAAGAAGGAGAAAATGTATGTGTGTACGACAAAAATAAATTCACAATCTACACATTCATTTTAATGTTTTTCTATATAATAAAAATAGTAAAAAATATAAAAAGGACATAAGATATAAAAATTCATTTGTTTTCTTCTATTTTGTTTTCGTTCTTGTCTTTTTCAAAATCTTTAACATTTTAACTAGTTTACTATATTATTGGAAATTCAATCTATTTAATGCTAATTTAGCAATATCGATAGATTTAGTTATAAAATAAGTACCTTTATAAAATTATATTTTATTTGTGTATATTATATAGAATTACAGTAAAATCTCGATATTTGAGAGCATAAGTAAAAATTTGTTATTATTTGTAGATTGTATTTGGTTTTTGAATTATTTAATTCCTGATTAGAATTTTATTATTATTTACGATAAAAATTACATTGTAAACTATCTCCTAGAAAATGTTGTTGCTTTATAAGTCTCAGAAAATTAGTTCGATGTTAGAAGATAGTTAGAACAAAAAATGTCTATGTCAAATGAAAAATTTTGACAAAATATTCAATTAACATTTTTAACCAATTTATTTAGATGCTTCTATAATACACGATTTTAAATTACGAATATTAAGTAATTCGATAATGAAATCGTAAATTCAATTTTTAGTTATTGTATTTTCTAAATTCAAATTTTTTCATATTTCCTATGCTTCCTTTTCTCTACAATATCATACATTTATACATTTTTGGTAAAATAAAAATTGAAATTATTCCAATTTAATCATCTGACAACATTAAATTAATCCATTCTTTCCCAGAGTACCAACAAGCATACTTTTTGAAAGTGCGTCGAATAAAATTGCCTGGAAACTCAATTTAAAAACCAATTATTTAATATAACTCAAATCTTTGGTAATATATGATTTTATACACTGGCAAAAAATGGGTTAAATAATATGAGAAATATTCTACTGTAAATTTTCATTAACAAGAAAGCATTTGCTTATTTAAAAAACAAAGATATAGAAAAAATATAGAACGAAATTATTAGATTTTTTTCCATCTTCTCCTCCCTTCCCCCAACGTAATCGTTCTTCAGTATAACTATCACAATTTTATTATACTATAATTATATGCATATACAATATAAATGTATAATATAAAAGATATAAAAAAACCAACAACAAAAAAAACAAAATGGAAAAAAAGAGAGAAAATAATTTTTGCAATGTCCTTTTGGATATTCACGTTTAACATTGAATATTTTATTGCATAAAATAAAAAAAAAAATAAGATAAAGGAAAAGATAAAAGTTATACATATATAAAAAAAATAACCAAATATAACAATATGTATATATACATATTACGTATAAGTGCTATACTCACTTATAAAATAAGACAAAAGAAAAATAAAAATTGTAAAATTTGCTTACGGTCACTAGTCCATTTGGAGTCTCAGGTGGTTCCCATGATATTACCACTGTCGATGAGCTTAATGGCCGTACTTGAAATATCCTTGGAGCGCTTTCCATTTCTATGTTTCCCATTTTGTTGATATTTTTTTTATATTTTTTTTGGTTTTTGTTACATTTTTGTTTTTTAAACGATGGCAAAAAATTAGAGTAGAAAAAAATATAACAATAAAAATTTTAGTTAGAATATAATAGTTTGAATGCATTTTTTTTTTTGTAGAACACTTATATACTATATATAACATTTATACATGTACATATCTAAATAATATAACAAAAATAGAATATTATATTTTATGTTAGTATGAAGTAGAAATTTATTAATCTTATATTCAATGATTTTTACAATATTAATGAAATAAAATTAGTATAATAAGGAAGTTCTGAGGGTATATGACAATAATTAGAAAATATGACAAAAGTTAAAATACAAAATGAAATTTTTTAAATCGTTATTCAACAATAAAATATGAATGAATTGAAAATGAATTCCTATAACTAGTTCTAGCAGTTCTAGTATGACAAAAATCTAGTGAACTTATTATGTGATAATATTATGAAAAATCTCAGTTAAATAGTGACATACAATGATTAAATAATTAAATTAATATGTAGACTCGATTATTTTCAATATTAATTACAAGAGGATTCATTACCAAGAGCCGGTACACCTAATATTTAATGTAATTTGAAATTTTGAAAGAGTAATTTGGACTAGTCAAGTTAGTTTCCCATGTTGCCTTTCCATTTACACAAAGAAATTTTAATGCTCAGGTTTCATATTAAATTCATTAACATATTTATGTATAGAAGAGCTACGGAATTTTTTCTAAACTCTATTTCGGGAATGAAAAATTGTACTGGAAAAATTTTCAACAATTATTATTGCAGATTATCCCATTAATTATAAGGCACTTGGCTTCGAACGAAAACTAAAATAATTAACAAAAACATCGAGAACATTGTTTTCGAGATATCATGTGGAAAATGTCTAAAGAACATGCAATTTTAACTTTATTGAGATTTCTTCCACTTTTAAGCAAAATACAGGTTTTTTTTTGTGAAGCGGAAACAAATTAGCGTTTTGAAATACTAAGAACTTTAATTGAAATGCAAATAAAAAATTCTTAGTTACAAATTTATCAACCCTCGATATGATTCAGAGATAAATAGCTGGGATTCTTCCTAATTTTTTTTGATTTACAAATGAAACGCTTAATTTATTTAAAGCTCTTATTTAGGTCTAAATCTTCTCTTTAGTTAAAAATTTCTTTTACAATTCTTTTATAATTTGATATCAATTTTTTAAAAACATTTTCACAAACTTCAATAAATTTCATAAATCAAAGTTGGTATACAAGTTTTTTTATTGATAATCACATCGGAAAATCTTTTTTTATTTTGCATTTTTCTAAAAAATGCAAATAAAAAAATCCAATTTTTTAACAATATGCAAAGCTCATTTTACATACACACATGCATATATGAGCATATACATATGTATATTGCATATGAATGTGTTTTACTTGTAAATATTCAAATTTTAAATGCATTCGTTAATAAAAAAAAATCTCTACATCTTCACATGTGTTTCGTTTAAGGGTAAAATTCTATATCTATCTTTATATTATGTATGTACGTTTGTGTATAGCCGCGTGCATATATTCTGAAAAGAATATTTTAATGGGGCTTTACCAGTTTTGCTAAGTTGTTTCTATTTTTTATGCTGTTTTTTTTTAGAATTAGAAGAGGTCTATGTTTTTTCAACATTTTTTATCATAAATTTGCAAATAAATCAAAACAAAATGCATGCATATATGAAAAAGAGGAGAAAGGAAATTTCTGTTTTTTTTTCTCTATTTTTAATTGAAAAGAGCGTAAGAATAAAGAAAAATTGTTTTTCTTTTTTATTTAATAGTAAGTAAAGAGGTTTTCAATGTTTTTTCCCTTATGCCAAAACACAAAACAGAAAAAGATAAAAGTTTTTATAAAACATAAAACTTGGATATCTACAAAACGGTACCGTATAAATTATTTTACGATAAAGTAAATGTATATGGTTGCATTTTATTTGTATTTGCGATTCGATAAGATTCACTTGAGTTTTGAACAAAATCACAAGAGTATTTTCATATACAGAAGGTATTGTAATTTTTTATTGATATAAAACTTAATTTTAGGATGCACAATATTTCTGTATTGTTATATACGATATATAAATATATTTAGTAATAGAGTATGAGTATGTATTTTGTATAACAGTGGTTTTTAAGTAATCCGTATTAAAACAAGAGCGTATTTCATACCGGTTGTTTTACTTTTATGTAGATTCTGCCGGGACGATGAGGCTACATATACATATATCTTTGGTCCATATATATTTTGTGTGACTGTTCTGCTCTGACCGTCATGAGGCGAAGATAGTTTGGGTGAGGCTTTCTCAATGTTGGAGAGCTCACCTCCAATTACTTGAGGAATTTCTCTGAGTATTTGCTTGAGATCGGATTGGTATAAATGTGGGATATAGAAGGGCCACAATAAGGATGATAATAATGGCTGAGTGCGGTGGTCGAAGGGAAAGACTTCCTTTCATATCTCTCTCCAATAATATTTATATAATCTACTCACAATATAAAAGAGGCAGATCTTGCCTTTGCAAGAAAATTCAAATATCGAAGTAGGTGTGTGTAATTTAAATGATGAATTTCCAATTTTATATTTAAATGATATGCTATAAAAGTAAATGGTTAATATTATTTCTTTTAAAAAAAGTTTTGATACCGCTTTTTTAAAACTGAAACTGAAAGCTTAATTTTTAAAACTTCGTCAATGATTCCAATGAAATTCACACAATGGTGACAATGGGTTGTTTTTTTTATGAATTCTTGCAATTTGAAACGTGTAACGATTCAGTCGGAACGTAGGGGGCTCTGTTATAATGGTACCTACCGTATTTTTATAATGGTTTAATTTTATAATGATACCAACCGTTATAATGGTTTAATACGTATTCTAATTTATGAGTTTGAATTCTAAGTTTAGTTAAGATTGAAAATAATGATTTTAATATGCAGCCATTATTTAAAACAATATTAAAAAAATTAAGCTTATATTAGTGTAATCAAACCATATTGAATCTCAAATGTATTAATTGTGTAGGGCATACAACCATTTTTAACATATTGTTAATTTTGATTAAAATCTGTTAGGGTAAAACAATTCCATCTATATTCTATCAATAGAAAATATAGCATGAACTTTATGTTTAACTAAATTCATTTTCGTCGGGAACAATAATTGACAACGCATATACTTTAAAAACCGGAAAGTCAAATTTTTAATTACAACATAAGAGTTAATGTAGCAGTATCAACTTTTAGGTTATAATTAAATTTTCCTATATACAAATCTACTGCGCTTGGTTTAATAATATTCCGAACATGTATATATGGCAAATTTTAAGGTAGAGAATACATAGTTCAAAAGTCAATTAATTAATTCACTCGTATGTCACCATAAACAATTGAAATTTTATCAATTATTATGTATTAATAATTTATATACATCAAGTGTTAAAAAACTTAAGAACAAAACCCTTTCCTCTCTTCTGAACGAATCCTTTCCTCTCATTAAATACAATTCACTGTATATATAAAATCAGGAAGCCCTATACAAAACCAGTATTTTCATATTTTGATTGACTGAAAATCAAATATGTAATTTAAAAATATTCAAAAGAAAAATAAATTTTTTTTTTTATTCTTTTAGAATATAAAGTGAAAAACTTCACTTTAATTGCTTATAAAATATAAAAGAAAAAAAATCCAGGTTTGATATCATCACATACTTCAATACAAATTGTATATGTACGTATATTGTGTACTTTTAAAAACCATTAACCGTGAAACATTCGATCAATTAAAATATCATCAACCTTCATTGATACCCCAATTAAAAAGAGAAAATCGCTTTTCAATTTTCAAGAAAAAAAAAAGTTTTTTTTTTTTTTTTAAATCCCTTAACAACAAAATCCTTCGAAATTGTTTTGTATATAAGTATGTGCATATATATATATATATATACTATATAATTTTTAACTCAAATCGTCGTTATCATCATCATCATTATCATTATCAGCAATACCATCGTTTAACTTTTACTGTGTATGTACACATAATTTTTTTTTTAACAAATAATACAGGCATTAATAAGTTTAAGTTTTCCAGAAGTATTTTATAAAATTTTATATTCTGTTTTTACTCAAGTAATTTTATTAAAATATAACGTATGAATCTATAATATACTTTGTTGAAAAAATTAAAAATTAAAAATATAACACTTAACTGGAAATAATGGCGGGGCTAATTATTAGGGATTTCGCATCGAATTAAGTTTTGGTTTATTAATAATATTCTAGTTTATTCGAGACTAGTTTTAAGGGAAAATTAAATTTATATATTAAATGTTTAGACCAAAGTTAGCCTAATTAATAAATTTTTCCCGCCTCTCTACAAAATTTACAAAACTAATGAGAATTTTCTAATGATTTTTAATGACATTGTTAATCGTAATTCTTCCAAAGTTCTTTAGAGTTTCTTAATTTAAAATCTTGCAGGAGCATATAAAATGCTTTCAATAAAAGTTTATTACTTTTAATATGCACTAGTATTTCTATAAAACGTTAGGAATAAACTGTAATAATCTCGCTAGAAATTGATTATGTTTTAATCATATAAATATTTTTATCAAACATATTGAATGTATAATGAGAAAGCATTATGGTTGTACCAGATTTAACATGTTGAGCTTTTAACAGTGATAGTAGGGCTGATCTCAACATAGCGGTGGGGGTGCTGACGGCACATTACCTTTTGGGGAAAATGACCAAGAGGCTTGGGGTCACCACGATTGATATATGTCGTGGATTTCAGGATATGGCGGTGGTGGAGGATATAGAACACGTTCTTTGCTCCTACCCGTTTTTGATGTGGAAGAGAAAGCGTGTCTTTGAAGCCTTTTTTCTTCAAATGGCTGGAAAGCCTGTCCGGAAAGTCTCTCGTGTGATTTTTGAGGTTTGCCAGGGAGGATGGTTTGTTCGGGTAGATGGTTTTTAGGTTTGGATTACTACGGGGTTGTAGGGTGTTGATTTGGGGTTGCCGATGAGCCTTTTTGTTGTTCTAGTGCATGTGCTCCACATGGATGTCCGGGTGGGGCTCCACCTCTCTTACAACTACTACTAATAAGATTTCCATTAAAAGATTTTCTTTTTTTTTATCATGTTCGAGGGTTTCTTGAAAATTCCAAAAGTTGAAAGTTGCAAGAAAAATCTTATTTTTTCGAATAATCTGTGCTTGAACAGAAATAATGCCTTTATTTTACATTTTCCATCGAAATTAATTTGTTATGTAGAGAAAATTGAGGAATTGTAAACAAGTACTCAATTATTCTTGTTACAAAAAACGGTCACAAATCAATTAATAAAATTTTCTTTTCTTTAAAATTAAATTCCAGATCCAATTCATAACAATTTAAAATTTTCATTTCTCATTAAATATTTTCAAAAAAAATTTAAATCTTCTCTATTTATGTAATCTTATTGAAAATTATTATACTCGTATATATTATATTGAGCTACTTATAAAATTTATATGATAATTCTCTTAATTTTAATTCAAATATCCTTGGAATGAGTAATGAAATTCAACATTTTTTCAATTTCATTTTATCATTTAATTTCAAATTGAATGCTGATATTTGCAAAAAATTTTTTTCTTTTTTAATTTTTTTTTGATTGAGAGGAGCAAAATATATATAAAAAACCAATATATTATACAATACCGTTATTATTGCGAATGTAATATAGGCGAAAAATATAATCCTCTTGATTTTAATGAAAAAAAAATTGAAAAATATTTTTTTTTTATTATCTCTGAGTTCAGCTATTTTCAGCTAAAGAAAATTTAAAAAAAAATTTAATGATAGTTTTTTCAACCGCAAATTAAATAAAAAAGAAAAAAAGCTTATAAGCTTTCGCTTAAAAATATTCGCCTTCGGTAATTTTCCTTGATCTTAATAAATATTTATAAAAAAAAAAAATGTCCAATCAGAAAAAAATTAAAAAATTGTTGAACAGATTTATAAAAAATATATAAAAAGAATAAAGCAAATGTCGATGGAAAATAAAGTTGTTTCGGATAACTGTAGGAATATTAGAGAATATTTGTGTTAAATATGAAAATTGTAAATTTTCCAAAAAGATTAATTTGATTTGCGGCCCAATTTTGGATGAATTCAACTAAATGTTCGATAAATAATTGTCAGGGAAAATTTTTTATCAAATTATGAATTCGCTAATGATATGTTTAGGCGCATTAAAATATGCCCCTATTTTGCTTCATTTAATTCATTGTATATGTAATATAGCCCTACTTAAGTTTATATACTAAGCGAAATTCTCATTTTCTTCAGTGCCAGTTCAGTAGAGTATGGCAAAATGGGCACTCAAACCACCGTTTGAGTGTTTAGAGCAGGCTCGGTTCTGAGCTGTTCGGCGCCCTACGCGTTTCTCAAAAAGTGTGCCCTACCGCTTTCCAAACAATGAACAATATGCAGCAAACATTGAATATTGCATATAATAACTACGCCCCTATTTTCTGGCGCTCATTGCATACGCTTACTTTGCATATGTGACAAATCCGCCGCTGGTTTAGAGTATGGCAAAATAGGCACCCACCGTTTCAAATTAGAATTTAATAAGTTCGGACAAAATTTGATAAATGCAGGCAATTATTATCGAAGCTATTTTTAATTAAATTTTATTATTATAAACATGACTTAGCAACTACAAAACAAACACTGTATTATTTCTGCTCGAAATTAAATTAAAAGAATTAAAAAAGTACATTTTTCGATCAAGTCACAAAAAATTTGGAATCCGGTTACGTAGTGAATGCAAAATTCTTAAAAATCCCACTCAAACGGGACTACAATGTTGTAAAACTAATCGAAATTGTATTCGATTAAAAAATTAATTTTTTTTTTTTAAAGCTTAAGCATCAGGCAATAATTTGATGGTTTTGTCCTTGAAATTAACAATTATTATGCATAATGTGCGAAAGGTCCTTTAATTTTTTATTTTATTTTTTTTTTTTTTTTAACTATAGAATGTATTTGAATTTCAAAAAGAAAAAAAAAAATAAATAAATAAATAAAATCATTTATTTTGCATTTTTCGTTTAAATTAATTAATGATTCGTTAATGAGCCTTAATTCATCTTCTTATGTGTGTAGGATTTTCTCCATTTAAAAATGTTTATCTTCTCTTATTTTCCATCATATTGATGAATCAGTATTCCAGGATAAAAAAATAAAAATTAAAAAACTTTGTGGGTTTTTCAATTCAGTATAATTTAATTATATATATATATATATATATGTATAATGTATACATGAATGTGTGAATGTATGTATATAAGGGTACAATAATGTTATATTAATTTTTATTTCAATTGAGGCTTAACTTTTTATGCTGGTTAATCAGTAATTATTCCATTTGAATCAATATTATAGTTAGGGTACTGTAATTAATAACGAAATTGAAAATCTTATAATAAAATTGAAAGAAAAGAGAACAATTTTTAAAGTTTGGAAAAGTATAGAATTTTCAAAAATAATGAATTGCCCTATGAATAAAATATTTGAATATCCGGAAATTGAGAGTTTGTTCTTTATATTTTTTAGGTTTTCTCTATTTTCAACCCAAGGGTTTATGCTTATCTAACAATCATACACTGCTGGTCACTCTGGAAGAGGTAATTGATGTTCAACCTGACGATTTTAGCGAATAATTTGTAAAACTCTGAAGCAGATTTCGGAGCCCAGATATCGATTATTTGCGAATTTGCCAAATTTGCATTAACTATTCAATTATTTTATATGGAATTATATGTTGTATACGTGATTTTCGGGCTATAAATCTTATTTTATGTTCGAAGACTAACAAAATTTTTGTATAGTTTCGTTTTAGAATGCCGCCTTACTATTTTATTAATTTAAATAAATTAATTTCAAATGAAGTTCTTGCAACATTTTGTATTTTGTACAAAAGTTCTTTCAATACTCCTATTAATGAATATTTTGCACACCACTCTATTTACGCGCCTCCTCCTTTTTTTTTTTAAGAATTATAAATTATTAAATAGTATTTTTTAAATATATTATATACAATAAAATATGGTCAACTTATTCTAAGTATTTTTACTTGAAGTATCTATGAATAATTAAATAATTTTTTTTTAAAAAGAAAATCTATGAATTTTTTTCTTAATTTGCATATAATTTGAATAAATCATAATCGATAAATGATTTTGTTTTAATTTAAAATAAAAATTACTATAAAAGCAAGTGTAATCAATTAATTTAAGTCATTAGCAAAGTTCTAACATTTGATATCGAACAATAAGAATATAACACCATTTTTATTTTCGAAAACTGTTCGATATAAAAAAAAAAACAATAAAACAAAAATATTATATTCCAACAGAAAAATAAAAAATCAAAATGGCTCCATTTATAATTTTTAATTCTAAAAATTTTAAAAAATCTACTGAAATTCGTACACAAAATAATCGAAAATTTCATTTAATTTTATTATTAAGTTTTCTTTATTGTGTATTTTTATTTAATGGAGCCGAATCAGGAAGAATGTAAGTTTATATTTGTAAATTAAGAATTAAATTGAATATTTCGAATAAAATTTGAAATTAGTGTAAAAATTTTAAGACTCTTATATTCGAATTTTTAAATAAAAATGGTGGTGCAATGAAATTTTTTCCAAAAAATTTTATAAATCAATTTTTCGAATTGAGTATATTTAATTGCACTGCAGTAATAAGTACTCGTAGATTATTACTTTTTTAAAATTGCTAGATGATAGTTGGTTTTCGTGAATAACTTAAAAATTAACCAACTTACTAAATTATGTCCGTGTCTTAATGACAACATATATTTTGGGCGCTATTTATTCCTATTTTAAATTAATACACTTTTTTTTTTAATTAAATTCAATTAATTTAATATTATTCGAATTATATAAAATTGAAATTTTAATATTAAAATATTTCAATTCTATTTTATAGAGAACAAGCGCATTTAAGTGCAAAAGTATTTCGTTGTGTATATGCAAAATATAAGACAGTACATAATGCAACATTAGAATGTAATCTTGGTAGCTATTGGGATAATTGTGGACGTCATGTTTGTTATAAAGATATTAAAGAAACATGTGATGAAGGTAATTTTGGTGAAATGCATGGTAAATGTGCACCAACATTAAATTGTTTTTGCGGTATTTGTATGGGTTGTACATCACCACAACGTTGTTTATTAGAATTACCATGCAAACGTCAAGAAAATAATTTTATTGATAAATTAAATGATTATTCATTTATTGGTAGTAATGATTATTCTTAAATAATTAAAAAAAAAATTTTATATAAATTATTAAAAAAAATTAAATAATTAAAATAATATTAAAAAACATGTATACATAATTGAGTTTATATATTATGTTGTGAGTAATTTTTAAATTTTTCACTCAAAAAATTACTCATTTAATTAATAATAACTTTTAATAATATTTTTAAAAATATTCAATTGTAACTACAAAATATTCTGTTGTTTTCAAATATGAAGTATTAAAAAGGCTATACGATAAAAAAAAAATAATAATTTTTTAAAATTTAATAGTACATTATTCTAATATCATGAAATTTGAGTGATTTTAAAATTATGAGTGATAATAAATTTTTTGAGTGGTTTATTTGAGTGATATTTGAAAATTTTCACATACAATTATGATTATATTATGCTAACAAATAACAATTGTACTTAAATGTTCTGCTTACGTCTTACATTAAGAAAAAAAAACGAGTTAAGATTGCCGTTTGAGTACTATCACGTAACAAAACGATATTTAATACAAATTTAACTTAATTTTTCGGCAGTGTACTAATGAATTTTAAAAAATCAACTTGTAATTTTAAATTAAATTAAATAAAATTAAATTCTATATATTATTAAATTTAAAAAATGTTTAGAAAAAATTTTGAGTATTTTATTGATTTACGTAAATTTAATTTGATTTTTTTGAAATTTTTTATTAAAATTCAAAATGATACAAAGGTATTAAATGTTAGAACTAAGACGATGATTCAGTTTTCTTTTTAATTATTAATTTTAATTTAATTTACACTAAAGAAAATAAAATTATGAGAAACAAATGTGGTATAGTAAGTTTTCCCCTATTAACTAACGCCTAAATTCACTCAATTTCTCATTTACTTAAATAAGTGTAAGAATTATACGAGTTTAAAATGTCTAATTTAAATTCAAAATATTGTGAATTAATAACACATTTCTTGTACTATTATAAAATGATGAAATTAATATTAAAGCATACAAATATGTACTAATATTAATAATTAAATTAAAATCATATTGTTGAATAAAAGAATTGTATTGATGATTATTAATATGATTAATCAACCTATATCATTATTATTGCATAAATAATGACGATGAATTCAACCATTTTTTCCTGATATTGGAATATTATAAAAAAAAAAAATAATATTTGTATCGAATAAATGTTAAACTGGCTAATCTAAAAATTTTAAAATTTTAAAATTCTTAAAAAATATTATAAACTTAATATCATAAAAAAATATGTTTATATATAATTAATATGCAAAATGTAAACGCTTTTACCAAAAAAGAATCGCTTAAAAAATAAAATACAGAATAAATAAAGAAAAGAAAAACATAAAGGAACATTGCAAAATTAATAATAAGTTTTTTAAATTTTTATATATGAAGAGTAGAATTCCTTTAACCCTTTTGTTGACTGATGCTACTTTCAAGTATCACCAAGTTTAAAATGTTTAACAAACAAAGAATTCTAAGTTCACAAAACGATATAATTATATTCTAAGTTCACTTTTTTGCATATATACTTTCACTTACTTTTAATTATATTAGTAGGAAACTGATAATACTTATAAGTATCGGGTCCCTAAACTCAGGTCCAACAACCGAGTTCAAAAAAATTTTCTTTTTCAAGAAAATAGCCTCCATTTATTTAAAAAAGAAAAAAATTAAACAATTTAGCAACAGATTTTTTCTATTTCTATTATCCAAAAAGGTAACAAAAGGATAAACTCCTATTAAAAATGCCCGTGTAATTTATAATAATAATTTAATAAAAAAATATGTAAAGTCTTTTCAACTAACGATCATTTCTTAGAGTGTAAATTTTAACTTCAGTTGCAAAAAAATTGTGTAAAATTAAACTTCTTACTTATAATTAATTAATGTTAACGCCTTAACATATTAAGTTCAAACCGCAACATTCAAATGCTCAGAATTACAGGAAAAAAAATCACATTAAATTTGCAGAATATTGTTGAAAACTGCTTATTTCCAACACATTTTCAAATAATATTCAATCTAAAAAAAAAAATTCTAAAATCATTAAAGGTATAGCCTCTATTCCCTTAATTTCTATTCAAAGTTTGGTTTCCCTGACTATGAAACTATGCCGCCTAGACTAATATTGTATTTCGAATTTAATTACCATTAACATTTTTAATCTTAATTGAAGTGCAGACCAATTTATTATATATTTTAAAAATTCATATTTTCCTCTATGTTTAAAATATTTTAATACTAAAAATTATTTATTACACAAGACTTCTATAAATAAAAATTTATAACATAATTTTTTTTTTTTAATAAACTGTCATAATATTATTGCATTTTTGCAAAACTTTAATTTGAAACTTTTAATTTTACTATAAATTTTGAAATACACATAAATTTCCTTTTTGGTTTTCATACATTTTATAAGAGTATTTAAATATAATAGAGTTCTGAACGTAATATTTTTTATAAACAACTAGAAAACGAGTATTGACCAATCCTTTATAGGTATATATAATTTTTTTTTCTAAAAATAATTTATACCCTATATATAAATTTGAAAAACAAAAAATCATAAGCCCCTAAAAGTAGGCAATTTTAATTCAAATTAATTGTCTTGTTTAATCTTATACATTTACTTATTTTTGGGTTTTCTATACAAAACTCACGAATATTTTGACATAATTTGTAAATTTTTTTTAATAATATTCAATAATATAAAATTAATGAAATAATTTTGTTGAATACAACAATAAATTGTTGTTTCTGAAGAATTTATTTGAATCTCTTTCGGTATCGAAATAATTCCTGTATTTTCTAAACTCCGGGATACTTGGGATTAAGAAGTATTTAGTTTAAAAATAAAATTGCATTATTATATAGATTTTTTAAATATAAGAATAAATAATCAATAATATTAAGATTCTGAATTTTTTTTGACGAGAAAAATTGAAACTAATTTTCCGACAAAAATAAGTGTAGCCTATTCTATCAACTCTTCCATAAATTACACAATCGATTGCAATTGGGACTGTTATATTATATACTAGAAATATCAATTATGCTTTCCAATTGTTATAGCTTTTAACTGAAGCATAAATAAGAATTAATTTACAACGTTTAATCTTATACATGAATGAATAGTGGGAGTACGAATAACAGGAGCACAAATAATGTACGTGTAGGGTATGAATAAATAGGCTACTGACATAACATAACATTGTATACTATTATTATAATGTACATATTTCTTTTTAAAAAAATTTTTACAAAAAAAATATTTAAAAGAAAAAATAAATTGTTTTTGGAAATATTTTTCAAATATAATAAATTGAAGAATGTAAATATAAAAAAAATATAAGTGATGATTATTTAGAGTAATTGCTTTTAAAATTGTTTTAATCGAATTTTTATGTAACTTTTTATTATATTCGAAAAATATTATAATTAAAAAATGAAAATGAAACTGAAATAGACACCAATTAAATAAATATTTTGTTGGAAAATCCATTTTTAATTTACTGTTACCATATACATATGTATGTATTGTAGACATGTAAATTTTGTAATTTTGTATATAACCCTAAAGCATTGAGAGAGAAAAGTTTTCTCACATCTATAGGTAGTTAAGAACTTAAATTTACTTTTATAATGCTACGGTAACAAAACTTACAATAAATGAGAATAATTTGATTTTGTATTTTAATTTGGAATTGAAGAGAAATTTAATAAAATCTCGTATGTTAAAACGTTATAAATGTGGGAACTACAACTTTAATTTGTCGAAACAAATGACTTTCGAAAGTATTTTACAATATTCCGCAATTTGTTTTTAATTTACAGTTATAATTTGGACAGTTGTAGAATTATTTTTGTATAAAATAATTCCTATAGGATATTAGAATTTGATCGTCATTTTATTTTAATACTATTTGACCAACACCTTCGTGTCTATAGTAAAATATCGCAATAACAACTTTAGGAAATTTTAATCTAAATCACATTATTTTCTCATTTCAATCACTCAAATATTCAAAAGCTATGTATTGAAATTTTAGTGCAGCGTCAAATGATATAGATTGTTGTAATAACGACAGATTGACTGTGTCTACTGAAATGTTATTTATAAAGTAATGAATTTTAGTCTAATAATATTTGTGAAATTTCAGATGCCAAATTGAGAATATTAATAACATTCTTTTCTTTATTTCTCTTATTGTTACATTTACTGCCGAATAATGTTAATTTTTTAATGTGAACAACAATGCCATGCATTTTATATTATGTATAGTTCGAATCAGTCCGAATAATTTCTATTTTAAAAGTGTTATAGTCCGAATAATTTCTATTTTAAAAGTACTTTTCTTAAAAATATTTTAGTACATTTTGATTTCTTCATTTCTTTTGTATTCACAATTAAAATCTTATATAGAGTGTATAATAAATGTTGAATCAATCGAAAAATTTAATTTTTAAATTCCTTTCATTTAATATTTGAAGTATATGGGCGAGAAATATACTATTAGAACATTTTATTATACTATTTGAACATACATACTAAAAATTTTGAATTCAGGTGCTAGAATATTCATATAAATATTTTAATGTATAGCTAGCTATACAATATCTTATTAAAAGATATACCATGCTTTACAAAATATGCACCAAGTGCAATTTAAAATCAAGTACGTGTAAGTTTGTGTATTCACAAGAATCTATTAATTTTTTCCATCCTTATTTCGAAAATTTTTTTTTTTTTTTTGTTTTATTTAAAATTGAACATGAATTTTACGATGTTTTGTTGTGTACAAATCAAAAAGAAAAAAAAACAGGAAAAAAAAAGGACTTGAAAAATGCAAAGGATGTTTTCAAACATTTTAACTAAGTTTATGGGCATTTCGTTCTATTTTTACTTGCTATTGGTTTTTTATGCTTTTCTAAGTTATTTACCTTTTATTTACCTTTACATTTCTCTCTCTCTCTATCTCTCTCTTTCTTTCTCTCATTAAATTTCATTATATATTACA